AGGAAAAATAATTTTATGTTTATTATATTCTGATTTAGTATCTTCAACTTCTGCCAGGTAAGGAGTATGTATATAGGTAATGAACAAACTATAATTTGGGGATAAGATATAGTAATTGAAATGCTAAAATGCTTGCTAAACAAAGATGGTAAAATAAGGTTGAAAGCAAAAGAACTGACCATCACACTCTTGATTACTTTAGTTGAAGCAAAATAAAACCTAGTCTAGGAAGATCTCAAACTGATTTGGTATATTCATTACAATAAGATTTAGAGGTTGTTTCGGTTAGCTTCTGGTAACAAAGTAACAATAAGTAACAATATGACTAAATAAGTTCTGATCTCAAGTTGGCATTAAGAATTGTATTGCTAGCTCCAAAGTAACAGAATTCCATCAATAGATAGAGTTGGCTACACTGATAATGAATGAGATTCCATCATTCTACCTCTCCTGAATATGATGGTGGTATAAAATACTGATGATGATGATGACATTTAGTTTCTAGGGTTAATATTAGAATTATATGTAGTCATAAAACTTAAAAAGCTACTAGCCCAGTGCCTGGGACAAAGTAAATTCTCACTGTGTGACAGCTTTTATGAACAGCAGTGGTTTCCCAATATTTGAGAACAGAAAATCTTGGAGCCAGAAATTCAATAATTTGTCTAAATGATACTACAAACAAACATCAGTCAAATTAAAGACTAGGAAAACAATTATTTAGACAAACATTTATAACATAATGTGGTTTTCTTAACTCTAACTTTTTGTTTACTAACAAAAGATTTCAGCACAAAACAATTAAAAAGTATTTATTCTTTTCTAGTTTCTATGACTGCAAAAAAGACATGATTGCTCATACAAAACAAAACAGGGAACAGTAAAAAGCAAAAAGAAAAAGAAAGTTCTCTTCTTTCCCTTATTCTTAAATTTCACTCTCCACTGGTAAAAATATGAAAGTCCTTCTCAATCTTGTCTTACTGATAAGCATCAAAAGAAATGAAGCCCATCTATTTGCCTGCAATACCATAATAAAATATTTTCTTAAATCAAATTTCTTATATAGAATTTCTGTTAAAGATTTTATTAGCTCTTACATATACAAGAGCTACCTACAGATATTCACACTGAATAGAGAAAACTAAATAATTTAATAAGCTTGTTTTACATAAACTTTAATTGCCATATACAAAATTTTATTATTGCAAATAATTTAATGTCTGCAAGGAACTGTAATACTGATTATGCCCAAAGCAGGCTGTGAGCAGTGCAGGCTGTAAACAGTTAACTCCACAACTGGCTTGTTTATAGAAGTGAGTCTGGCCAAAGCCTGTGTGCTAAGGTCAGAGTTAACTCACACCCAAATTCTGTTGCCACAACTATAACTTTTTTAACTAGAAGGACAATGTTCTAATTAGAACCATGTATTTTGTCTATTCTGTTCCTAATTCGAGAATACTTTGTCTTTTCCTTTACGAGCCTTGTCTCCATTAGTTTCCATAGAAACTGCTCTGCTGTGCATCCTCGCATGTAGTTTGCCTTTATCCCAACTGATGACCAATAACAATCAGTGGCGTGGACTGCCCAGCACCTTTTTTGGTTGTACCGGCACTGGTCGACCTAGTGTCTGTCTTTTAGGGTTTTTTCCCTCAAGTTTGAGACATGATGTACACTGAGCCTAGCGCAGAGGTTTCTGCTAGTATTTCAGGGGTCCCCAGTAAATGTCAGAATGTTTAATGTTAGGTTTTCCCTAGAAAAGACAACAAATTTAAAAGGCAACTGCCTAAAACTATGGAAGCTATATTGAAAATCTGTCATTTCAAGGTGGGACCTTTGACGAAGTCTGTCATAAAACTCATACAAGTAAAAAGCAATGGTCAAATAATTACTAGAACATAAGTAAATGTTTATGGAATAAAGCATATTTCTAGGAATGTTAACACATTTTAAACTTTTTAAAGGTTTACAGAAAAGTTAGTTTCCCTCAAACTTTCAGTTTTGTGACATTTTATACCAAAAATTGTACTTGGATTAAAGCTGACCTTCCCTTACTTGAAATTCATGTTTTAAAATTGAAAACGGGTGAGGAGTGGGAAAAACTATTAGTAAAACCTACAGTATTCTCAGGTCCAAGACTTCCTAGATTGCTTCAATTTCAACACATTTAGGGAATTTTGCATATGAAATTAACTTTAGAAAGTTAAGTGTTTTTCATATTTAAAAATGATTTTTTTTCATGACATTCAGTTCTATATACTTAAAGCTTATTCTGAAGACAATGTATTTGAATTTTATTGTAAATATTTTGTAGATATTTTCTTAGTAGAGAATAAAAGAGATTAAAAAGATCGGCCACTATTTGGTAAAATAAGTTCAATTTATAAAACTATGTTACCCAAGCTATAAATTACTGGCATGTACATCTGATCCAAAAAAATTTAATAAAATATATATATGACCACCACATTAACTTTTTTGATTAGTTCCCAGGTGATTCCAAATTCATGAATGGGAATGGTTTAGCAGTTTAATTCAATCAAAATTTTTAATGAAAACTACTTTGGTGCGCTCGGATCCTAAAAATGTAACAATAAAAGAAAGTCCTAGTTTAGGAAGCTCATAGATTAATGAGGCAAATCTACCACATAAAAATCTTCATGAAATCTGCTATATGACTAACCATTTTCATTTTTTGCTTAAAGTGCTTAATGACTATTATCTCAAAAAACTTGAAAACTGAACTGGGCAACTATGAGATCATCTTTCACAGAAAACTCAAAACCAATCTTAAAGTCCTACAAGTTTCAAATCTAATCCAGTATTAGCAGATAATTAGATTTTAAAGACTGCCTAAAAGTAGTACAAAAATGCTCTAAGTGTAAAGGTTATGAAAGTGCAGGCCTGTTTCCATAACTTCCCGAGCAACTTCATTTATATCATATATTAACTAAAGTTAATGACAAAATAAATCACACAATTAAAAAATATAATTAGTAAGAAATGACACAATTCAAATGAGCTAAATGCACAGAGCAAAAAAAGAAAAGGCAATATGTCCAGAGAAATACAGTACAGCAAGGTCAAGTACATCAAGTTAAAGTCTAGGGGTAAAAAAGCAGATCAGGAAACTATAATCTCTTCCTTGTTTTGGTAGGGCTCATCAACTAAGAATTAATTTTTACAGATCTGCATCAATATGATAGGGAATGTTGGGAAAAACAATTAAGAGAAATATTATACCTCTCAGAAACAACTTATTCTTCTGTGAGATCTTTCTATAAAACAATTCCACAAAATTATCATTATATTTTGAATTTCATCAATAATAATTCATTGAAATGTTTTCTCTTTTTTTAGTTTAATGCCTATGGGACATCCCTAATTTTGTCTTTTAAACAATAAAGCCTAAAATATTTTATATAGCTCTTTACAGAAAAAGTTTGTCAACCTCTGTATTAGAGCATGCATTAATTAATTAATTAATTATTTTTGGTACCAGGGATCACACTCAGGACCTTGTGCTTGCGAGGCAGGCAGCGACAGAGCGGATCACAGTTTTAGGAAACAGAGTAAACCATTCACACTTAGATCTGAGGGTACTACAGAAATCAGGAAGTAACACTGTTATAACAAGGTTAAATGTTCAAACTTAAACCAAAAGATGGTAAGAAAAAGAGACGGTTTCTGCTGCAAATCATAAGAAATTATAGATACAAATAAAAAGATCACTGATCACATCACACATTGGTCCTTTCAACTATATTTGCATATCTAGCAAAAATCATCTTTGATCAAAAGAAAATGTATTTTTGTAGAAAGAAGTATAAAGATTTTAAAGTAACTTGATCATTCAACTGGTTGAAATTAGCAGGGAATTATGGTTCAATGTAATAAAAACTGAATTCAAATAGACAGTGAGCTGTACCCCAAAGTAGCAATCTAATGCTGAAAATGTTCAAGAAAACTTTGGAAAACCACTTGTCAGGAATGTAATTAAAAGTGTTTTTCATTAGATGGTTGATGGGACTCAAAAGCCCTAGGAGGAGGCTGAGCTTGATCCCTGGTAAACCCCCCCCCCAAAAAAAAGCCCTAGGAGGTTTTCAAGTTTACAAATCTATGAAAATTTTGAGAAATCACTAATAAAAGTCCAAAATCACAATGTTGTTGCTTTGGCGAAAATGAAACCTAGGGAAACAACCTAGTGGTTCAAATATTTAAACTTAAGATTTTTAAAAGGTTGTGAGGGCCTTCAAGATCTTAAACATTTAAAACTTTTTAATAACAACATTTAAACTCAAAAATCTCTGCTTTACTACTCTTTTTTTCTTTGGTACTGCGGATCGAACTCAGGTCCTTGAGCTTATGGGGCAGGCAGTGGAACCACTGAGCTAAATCCCCAGACCTCTGCTTTACTACTCTTAAAGTGAAAACATTAATTCTAATATTTTGAATTTGCTGTGGTTAACAACGGCGTTCATAGACCCAATAAACAAAACTGTATCAAATCAATGTGTAAGTCAAAGTCTACTTTTATCAGCAGTCTACCATATATGCACTCATTCTTTCATTTTGTAAACATTATATTGAATAAACACAAATATGACACATCCGTTCCAGAGTATTATCAGCAGAGTACATGGTGAGCAAACAGATATAGTTTCTCCTTTTATTCAGCTTATATACATTAGTGAGCTTATATTCTAATTCTATCTTTAAGTATTTTGAATAATGGATAAGCCTCTTTCTTGCATCAGACTTGAAATAGTTTTTCCAGAAACAAACCAAAACACAACAAAAAAAGAAAGAAAACAAAAACAAAAGAAAACTTAACTAGAAACCAAAGGTTGGTGGGTCCTTCTACATGCCCTACAAGTGAACTTGCTAACTAAGCAATCTTAGATCAGTTTACTCATTTTAAAAATTTTTTGCATGTGCATGCTGTATTAGTAAAATAGCACCCAAGTTATTTTAATTCAAAAATCCTAATTCAACTTCCTTACCTTGATTATTTCTACCAACTGATCCACACCACTGTCCCCTGGAAATATTGGTTGTCCTAGCAACAGCTCAGCCAATACACAGCCTGCAGACCACACATCTGAAGAGAAAACAAAAGCTTATTAATACTTTGTAACTGCATTGAAAAATCTATACTTTTTTTTCTTTTTTGGTATTAGGGATCGAACTCAGGACTTTGCATTTGTGAGGCAGGCACCAGAACCACTGAGCTAAATCCCTGGCCCACGTTTTTAAATTTTACTTTAATCACACAGTAAATATCAAAAGCAAAAGACTGTGTAACCCAAAACAAGGAAGGAAAAAAATAAAACCTTCCCTAATAACCAGGTATAGTGGTACATACTTAATATTCCCAGCTACTTGGGAAGCCGAGGCAAGAGCATTTCAAGTTCAAGATTAGCCTAGAACAGGGATGATGAACCTTTTAGAGACAAAATGCCCAAACTGCAACTGAAAACCTATTTATTATCTCAAAGTGCTAACATTGCAAATAAACCTGAATACTGAGGTTTTAGCTTAGAAAAAACAACTCTACATTAACATATTTTGTTTTGAAAGAAAAGAACAGTAACAGAGCTTTGAATGATACAAACAGCTTTTTATTGAAAGGTAAAAGTTTGCATATGGCATGCTGAGGTGTCCTGGCTTGTGTGCCAACAGAGAGGGTTCTGTGTACCCGCTGCTGCATGTGCGCCATAGGTTCACCACCACTGGTTTAGGCAACTTAGAGAGACCCTGTCTGAAAAACAATACAGTAATTACAGTTCCAAAGTGACAGAAAGACTATTGGCTCATCATACTTAAAAAGTAAGTCAAAGTCACACACACTCTGCACATTATTAAGTTTTTAAAGAAGAAAAGTGAGCAAAGATTCAATCTCCCATAAACACTGGGTTTTAAGCCAATGCAAATTCTAAAGAAATCTTTAAAACTCTAAATGGTTGATTTTTATATGCTGTAAGATGACTGAAAGAAATGTACTTAGATATATTATTATAAATGTAAGTAAAGGGAAATACAAAGGAATACATTTTATGTCATAATTTCTATAAATAATTTATTATCAAAATGGGGATGTCAATCCTGAGAGAAAACTTTAAAAATGTAACTAATACATGTTAATAACAAAAATTTAAATAATAAAATTTAAAAATAACTTAAAAGCACACATCTTGGCTTATCCATGACAGTCCTGATTAGTATCTATTGGCCTAGAAAATCATTAATAGTACCCTCTTTCTCTCTCAAAAGTATCTGAAGATAAATTACATGTATATGCTATGTAAAGTCTATTAAGACTTTCTGCAAGCAAAAGCTGCTTTTCGGTTTTAAGGTTTCTGAGATTCCTGGGCTTTATATGTACCAAAGTACATACAAAGTATGTGTACTTTACACACAAAATATGAAGTACTTTAGGGAGACAAACATAAATCGTTGCCCGATTTTCCTATTGACCAGGAGGTAAGCAGAAAAATATAGGGAATGATATAGTAGAGACAGCAGTAATTTAGAATCTGATATGGTAAGCTGATTGGAAAGACAGATTGGAAATCTGTACTTCAATGACTACTTTTTATTGGCCTAGAAAAATGACACGGAATTCATTTGAGAAATTCAAGTTGATTTTTTCTCTAAGTAATGATAATCAAGACATTTATTCTGCAACACAGAGCAAGAGAGTCCATGATATATTAGGAAAATTGCTAAAGTGAAGGCAAATATGAAAACCTGTTAGGGGCTCTTTATTTCATCCAAAGCCAACAGAAATACTACTCTTGTAGTAAGGTGGAAAAATATATTGTCTCATTAAATGTATTTTTTTCCAGTACCAGGGATCGAACTCAGAATTTTGCGCTTGCCAGGCAGGTGCGGCCCCACTGAGCTACATCCCTGGCTCATTAAATGTTTTATTTTAATTCAAGTTTTAAAAATTCCTTTACCTAGCTAATTAGAGAGCAGTTACTATGTACCCACTTCTTTCCACTTTAACACAGAATAACTCATCTCAAAAGACAAAGTTGGAAAAATTGCAGAGAATAATTACATCTTCACAGAAAAACAATAGGAAATGCTTTCCTTTGTATGTGCCTTTCAGCTATCAATATGCAAGACAAGAGTAAAACATCAAGGAATACTATTACCTAGCAGTTACAGAAAATTAATAATCAAAAGATTTAGGTTATAACTCTACTAACTGTCCTTCAATTTATGTTAAACTAGTCAAATTACTAAAAAAGTATTCATTGTTCACTATGTGGGAGATACTAATATCTATTCTTATTTTTTCATAGGACAAAATAACAAAACTCTCCAAACAGAATAAAACTTCACCTAAGTAGGTTTACTGACACAAAAATGTTTTGACCAACTGAATTTTAGTTATTTGGGGTTTAAACCAATATAGAATTGTTTCAAGACCATTTAGTTTAAAAAAACTTACTTTACAGATCAAGAAATTACAGCAGAATAAAGTTCACTTGCCAAAGGAAAAGTTACTGAGTAGCAGCACAGCACTAGGCCTGGAACTTATTCTTAATCCCCAATTACACACATCATCATCTTTAACAATTGCCTCTGTGTGAAAAAACCCAAAAACTTCAAAGGTCCTAGCTTAATTCCCTGTCATAAAGAAGCCTTTTCTTTTCATTATGCCATTTCTCAGTAAAAAGATAGGAGAATCACTGACTTTAACTCTGATTATATTCAAATATGACAATAATCTAGGATGTGACTCTTTCAAACATTACTACTAAAAACATTTTAAAAATGTACCTATATTAGTATACTCTCAAATACCCGCCACTACCACCATGTTTAGAAATCCTAACAAGCCTTTACACATTCTAAGTCTAAAAACGGAAAACAAATTTAGGCTTGTGAGGGCTCAAAGGGTCTTAATTTATATAAACATTCCTTAATGTGTCAGATGACAGGGTTATGACTTTTTTGGCTGAACTAAATTGCCTTTATTTTAGATGATCCTGATGCAAGTCAACCCAATATCTTGTCTATAGAATAATATCTAATATATAAATAAAATATAAAGCAGCTGGGAAAATCCAATGATATTCCCAACGACATGGAAAGAATACCACTTACATTTTTATAGTACTTTCACTAACATTTTATTTACTCCTCACAGACACTAAAAAAGGCAAAACTGTTAATAATCTCTATTTTATAGCTCAGCTAAGGAGCAGCAAATATGGAAGTCAAACCTAGGTCAACACCAGGCAAAGTATTCTTTGTACCATTTCTCACTTGTTCATTAATGTATACCACGTAACATACCCATCATAAGAATGAGTGCTACCTACACACAAAGCTATATTCCCTCTTCTCTTGTGCACTGTCTCTATAGTTTGCAGGGTCCTAGGTCCTCTGGACATTTTCAGAGGGCCTACAGGGCAAACCTATTTTCACAAGAATATGCCTTACTGGGTAAATTGCACTGATGTTACAAAAGAAATAGTGAGTAAACTGCCAGTCCTTTGGCATAAATGGTAACTGCTTTGGCATACTGGTCTTTGATAAAATGAAAACAATAACGTGTTTCTGTTCAGGAAGTGTTTGTTCATATTAGTTAATTTCTATTTTTATCAGAAAGACAAAAATTGGCCGAAGGTTTTTTCTTTAAGTTTCTAGTTGTTGTGGGTTTTTATGTGTTTGGTATCTGTATGCCTTTGTTTCTATTTCTGGACTAGGGAATTCTCTTCAGAAACAATATATAACTTGCTCTTTGTTTCTTAGCTTTCTATTCATCTGATCATGGTCTTTCTGTTCATTCCTAGCCAGTATGCTAAAATGGTGAAGCTACAACTCCTTCTATCACTAAGCATCTCCGGTGAGCTAGTATGGATCTAATCTGGCTTACAACTGAGACAGTATGGCAGGATTTCAACAATATGGTTTCTGTGTCACTTTCATTATTAACTTAATGAAATAACATTACTAATGCACAAATAGTCTAACTGGCTATCAAATTCAGAAATAAATATTTCAAGAGGATTTTTTACAAGTCAGTAAACAAAAGATTTATTAGTTAGGATTTATTTGAAGCTTTAAGATAAAAACAAATGTATTAACCAACCATAAAGTAATAGTTTTATAATTCTAATAATCCAAAAAACCCTAAAATTAGACTGGCAAATACATCTGAAATTCTAAAGGGTAAAATTAAAAAACAAAAACCTACACATTTTTTCCAACTCTTTCACAAGAAAGAAACACATTACAGGGCATACCCTTCTTTCTAGGGCAGTGAAAGATTACTATGAATAAACTATTAAAATCTAGATGCAATTAGCAATGGTAAGCATTATATTCAGATTTAGTACTTACCTATACTAGATGTATAATCAGTGGCTCCAAAGATCAACTCTGGTGCCCTATAGTACCGAGAACAGATATACGAAACATTGGGTTCTCCTCGGACCAGCTGCTTTGCACTAATAAAAAACAATAAATAAAAAGTAGAGTCTTTACACCTCAAAGGAAACTTTACTGTTATTACTTGTAATACCAAATATTTACCTAAGTTTCATACCATGCCAATCATGAAACAGACACAAAAAAATATGAACCATAACTATTTTGGACAAAGGAAATACAAATTTTAATAATACCACTATGCAAAAGAATGGTAGTTTTCAAAGAAAGAGTTTGTCAACTATTATTTAAGGAACAAGAAGTAGACAGTTACAAAAGGATAAATGCTGAACTTTTTCTAATTCTCTGTTCCCTGAATTAGAAGGGCAGGAAATTAAGGGGTACCTTGGCTCACCAAAAACTGACAGGAGATTAGAATGTAAGAATGAATACTCCTCACTCAATATGTTTCTTTAAAAGGGAATGAAACTGCCCACTATTTTTACAATTAAACTTTTGACACAGAGTGATCTCAATGGTTAGAGAGCTAATCTATTTATCTTTTTATATTTTGGTCAATTTATTAAATATCAAAACACTTATTACCCAATAAACTTGTTAAAAGACAACCTTCAACTTTAGTGTAAAAATGACTGACAATCTATGAATTCTACCTGTGTTGTGGTAAATTTATATGCTTTTTTACTCCAATTTTCCTACTAAAATATTGTGTGGCATGTATTTTAAACATAAAGGAAATTATAATACTTTAGATGTGTCTCCAGATAACACAAAGACATCCTGAAATAAGATGCTGTAAAGCTATTTTGACATACAATAACATAAAGACATACAACAAAATCAAAACAGTAAAAAACAAGTGCCATTTTTGAAGTAATAGTACAGCAAACCAGCACAAAAATAAATAAAAATAGTCACAAGAACTCTAAAGTCTAGGATTTCTTTTCTTCCACTTATTTCTAGTCAATGAAGACCTTATTTTTCCTTTATCACCAGTTTTGATGTTTACTTTTAACACTGTCTCCAAGTATTGACACAGAATCACCATTTCATAAATTAAAAATACTAATCTCTGTTTTCAGGCTGCCTAAAATTAAGTATTTTTCAGATAATTGATAGGGAACTCTGATACCTTCAGAAAGATGCTGTTTAATAATAAAACAAATTCCAATTATATCCTCAGAAAATTCATCACAGGTTAAAATTACACACACACACACAATTTGATGGAGGTGCCTTCTTTCTTTTATATTGTAGGAAAGGCTCGTTGTCACTTCCTGTCCAATATAGTGGGCCACATTCATATAGCCTTATCCTTAACCCATCTAGCCCTTCTTTGGGTTACTTCTTCCTCAGGGCCTCAGCTACTTCTAGGACCTGTTTCACACAAGTAAAGAGTTACTAAGAAGAGAGTAATACTGTTATCTTTAAAAAATTATTTGGAGTTTCTCTTCATTCATGAGAAAAAATAAATGAAGGATAGATAGTCCCACAAAATAATTATGTTCTACTATTTTTCATAAAGACCTCTATATTTGTTCTGGTTTGGATCTAGTTTGTCTCCTCCCCACCTATGGGTTCCTGTGTTGAAGGCTTGGTCCTAAATGTGGCTATATTAATGGGCATTGATATTCATTTTGAGGAATTGGTACATGCATTAACCTATCTTGACCATTTTTGATTCCTTTACTCCTCCCTTAACTCCCCCGCCTCTCCCGTATCTCCATCTCCCCCCTTCCTGTTCCCCCTTCTCACCTCTAAAACGCGTCTTCTTGGTTCCAACTATCTCTGCTTTATTTTATTAATTTATTATTGTATTTTAGTGTTCTTATTCAAGAAAAACCATGCAACATTTAACTTTCTGTCTGATTTATTTCATTTAGCATTACAGTCTTTCAAGTTTCATTTATTTTCTTGCAAATGACATGCTTTCATTCTTCTTATGGCTGAAAAGATTCCATTGTGTGTATACACATTTTTTTTATCCACTCCTCTGATGATGGGTATTTAGGTTGTTTCCAGAGCTTAGCTATTATAAATTGTACTGCTATATACATGGGTATACCATAACATGAAGTATGATGTCTTTTAATTCTTTTTATAACCAGGAGAGGTATAGCTGGATAAAATGGAGTTTCTATTTTTAGGGGTTTTTGATGTTGTTGTTTTGCTTTGTTTTGTTTTTTGAGGAATCTCCACACTGATTTCCCTAGTGTTCATACTAGTTCACATTCCCAGCAACAGAAAGGTTCCTTTCTCCCCACAACCTTGCCAGCATATCTGTGTGGTTGATGATAGCCCTTCTGACTAGAGTTTAAGATAAAATCTCAGCTGTTTTGATTTGCATTTCCCTAATGGTTAAAGATGAATATTTTTTCATTTATTTACTTGTGTAAAGTACATTTGTACTTCTTTTGAGAAGTATATTTATTTCAGTTGCCTACTTTTATTTTACTGGATCTTTTATTTTGGGGGGAAGTCTAATTTTTTTTACTTCTTTACATATTTCAGATATTAGTCCTATTCTGTAGGTTGTCTTTTCAATGTTGTTTCTCTTGCTGTGCAGAAGCTTTTTAATTTGATATAATTCCATTTGCTGATTCCTGACATTACTTCCTATGATACCGGGATTTTAGTTCAGGAAGTCCCTTATTGTGCCTATGGCTTCAAGTGTTTCCATTACATTATTTTCCAGCAGTTCCAAAGCTTGTTTTTATATATAGGTCTGTGATCTATTTTAATTTGAAGCTGATTTAATTAAAAGGTGAGAGGTACAGATTAAATCCGCACGTGGACTGCACCCGGAAGGAAGCTCCCCTGCCACCATCCCAGGCTCCTAGGGCAGAGAAGTTTAGCCGGTCCCAGCACCTGGAAGGAAGCTCCCCCACCGCCATCCCAAGCTCCTAGGGCAGAGAAGCTCAGCCGGTCCCAGCACCCGGAAGGAAGCTCCGCCGCGGCCATCCCAAGCTCCTATGGCAGAGAAGGTGAGCCACATGGGCTCCAGAAACACCATCCCCCCCACCCCGTGGAAATGAGAAGACACATAAACAAGCCTCAAAAACAGACTTCCAGCAACCCCAAAGGGAAACGAGATGGAACACTCTGATATTCAACCACCTGGACTCTCTGAACTGGCAACAAAAGAGGATCTGGGAAAAATGAAATCAGAAATAATTACTCAAATAAC